AACCTGGAACGTAACAATGCTACAGTTTAAGCAATTTACTTAAACAAGATGATGGTTTCACACCAGCAGGGTAAACTTCCATTAGCTTTTCTTCCTTTCCCCCCGCTCACCCTGAGAGCCCAGGGCTAGCACCCCAAACCTTTTTGACTGATGTACTGTGAAATCAGCCCTCCCTGCTCCAGACACCTCCCACTGAAGCTGTTGCCTTCCCCACCACTGGATCTCAAGGTCTCTAGACACTGAAACCTGTAAGAATAAATATCCAGGAGACAGCAGCTGTGACCCATTTATTACCGGATGCTGCTGCAGGGCACAGCTGAGGAAGGCAGGGCAGAGGAAGAGCACTTGCTGCAAAGGGAACAAGCGGAGCAAACCCAGGTGTCCTTGGAAGAAGCACTCTGCTCGCAGCACTGCTCCAGCTCTGTTTCTCCAACTCCCAGTTGGCAAGAGACAGCTTAGATCAAGCATGGATGTTCAAGTACTGCCACGAGGGCTCCCCTCCTACCACTGCTGGGAGGTTAAAAAAAAAAAAAAACAAAACAAAAAACCCACAATGAAAGCCCATAGAGGTCAGAAGGCAGCAATGGACAGAGAAGCTACAAGCGTCTCACACACTGAACAAGCCAATAAAACTGCCCTGTTGCAGGTCAATGTATCTGAAAAGGTCTAGCTTTGGCAATAAAATTCACAGGTACCTTTACCCAGAGCAGAGGGTGCGTGCACACGTGCAGCACAGTCAGGGGAGGGAAGCAGAGCACGTACACTGGCGGCACAAAGCACGGCGCCCCAGCCGACAGCCAAAGAGGGCCGGGGAAGCAGCACCGCGCCGAGGCAGCTGGGATCTACATCAACACTTATCAGTTCAGCCTTCACATTTGCCGATTAAGTTCTGCTGGCACTGAGGAATTGTACGTGTCCTCAGACTACCTCCCGGCCCCCCTGCACAGCCTCCCGCGGCTGCAGCCCGGCCCTGCTCTGGTCGCTGGGTATTCTGATCAGAGCGTCAGGCTGGGGTGACATTGTCCCCTCCTGAAGAGGGGACAGTAAGCGCCTGCAAGCCCGCTCATTTTATTCACTGCACAAGCACGTTTCCAACTGGGATAATCTCCATTAAACCATCTGCGCTCCCATCTTTGCTCGGCCCGCACCCGCTGGGCTGCCTGCGATACTGCAGCATCTGTGAACCGGCAAAAGCGGATGCCACGTCCCTTTCCCAATCAGCTAAAAAACCAACAGAGACTCAGACAGAACAGATGCACCTGGTAGCTTTGACGCGCTACCGAGCCAGGCTACCAGGAGTACCTGTGCCAGTGCCTCCTCTGAAAGGTGCACGGCTCCCTCCGAGAATTTAAGCCATTTCCTTTCCATGGTGGGAAGGCGCCATGCCCCAAATTGCCAGAAGAGGAGGGCTGAGAAGAGAGTAGAGGTTTTAGCTACAACGGCTGCCCCCGGTGCAGAAGACAAGCGCCGTTTGCCAGGTCATGAATGCATTTTGGATCAGACACTCTCAATGGCTGCTTATCCCCAGGACTTAATCTCTCTCTTATTTATCTCAGTATCTGCTTTCTAGAAACAGGGACTATCATGTCACATTCCTACAGCACTGGAAGAGAAAGACAAGAAAGTGTTATGATGAAAGATCTGAAGCTTAAATCCGCTGCCCCCTCCCTGCAGCCTACACAGAAGATGCCCAGCTGGCCTTACAGGAATCATTACAGAGCAACGGCATCGGGGGGTAAATTCAGCATGGAGAGAACTCGCCCCTGTCCTTAGCATTGCCACCGAGACAGCCAAGGGACTCGGGAGTCACTTCAGCTGTCGAGGACATGACAGAGTGGTGACAGATCTGAAGCCAAGATAGAAAGCCATCGATCTGCTTTAACTGTAATCAGCGCTTGCCTTCAACAAGGTCACTGGGCCATCTAACACATGCCTTTCTTCCAGCCCACTTGCCCCGCGTGGTCTTGCCCTCACAGGTGTGGAACAGCACGGCAGGGCTCAAGGCTCTCCTTCTAAACCCCCCAGGACTCCCACCAGTCCCAAAGAGGTGGCAAATATTTGCAGCAAGCGATGGGACAGGAGCAAAAGGCTATTTCAGTATTTCCTGCCTTCACTTATTTGCTTTGCAAGCCTTTATTTTCCAAGGCAATTTACAAACAAGAAGCAAGATAACCATTTGTTCAGACAAAGGTTAATAGGGGCCTAGTGGTCTCTGAAGGCTCTGCAGTCACACTTAGGTGTGAAATTTCGGAGTAGCAATAAAGATGCTGAGCAGACAAGCAAGTCTCAAGAGAAGGATTTAATCTGTCTAAATATTCTCATTATGTACATAGTTTTCAGCTTCCATTCACAGTGATCAGAGCAGAGACAGCTTCCAGAGGCCTTCTTGGACAATAAACCGTGAAATAGGATTTTTACATCAGTCATTATTCCCCTCTCCACCCCCAGCTCAAAGAGTCAATGTTTGAAATGGTTTTTGTTGAAAAGACGACACAGCATCGGGAGAGAGAGTCGACAGGAGGAAAGCAGCACAGATCTTTGGCAGACTGGTGGTACTTGGCACAAGAGAGCTCCCATTGGCACCATTTTCCCAGAAAACCTCAAATAGATTATTTATCCTGGTAGTCCAAAAAAGGCTTTCTATGGGGCCACGCACAGAGTAAGAAATACAGCACTACATCCAGAGACCTGCTTCACTGGAATAGGCAAGAGGGTCCAGTTACATCCACCCATCTTGCTCCTAAAAGCCACTTAAAGCTAAATACAGTGCTAAATCGAGGTGAGAAAACTAAGAGGCAGGCATCTAGGACAAAAGGGCTGATCCAAAAACTCAGCTGCTTTCTTTTGGGATCGCAGTGTCCATCTGTCCCCTTGCCACAGGGGAACTTAGCCTGCAAAAATAGATCTTGTTTGTCCACTGAAACGTGGAACCTGAATTATTCTAACAAGCAAGAATTCAAAAAAGAAGTTGTCAAGAAAAGAGAGCAAGTTTCTGGGACTGAGAGTATAGCTATGCTCTTGATGCATCTCACCCCTCCTCACCTTCATGTTGACTTTCCCCCTTCAGTCAGGCAGGTTTCAGCTTTTCTTGCTTATTCAAGACTCTATGTCTACACACAAAAAGCTTGGACAAAGTTTGTGGTGATAGTTACAGTGTTTTGCTAATAAGTTTTTTGCTTGAAGCCAAGCGACTTCCTACCCCTACCCTCCCATCCCCAGGTTTCTCTCAGAAAATTTAAGAGCTGTAACTACTGGTCACTAGCTGTCCACATCACAAACAGGATAGTGGGGGAGAAGCATTAACCAGCAGAGTCCCTTCAGCCCAAACTTGATGCCAGCATCAGTGCTATGGGTCTGAAAGTTTTATAAATGATTACATCTTTTATCCCTCTCTAGGGAAGATGCCATCATTTCTGTTTTCTGGAGAATAAAAACCACACGAGTCAAGCAGAGAGTGGGACCAGCAGAGCTGGAGGTAGAACGGGTCCCAGTTTACTCCAATACTCATCCAGGAAGACATATTAGAAACCTTAACAAAACCTCAAATAGAGCAATGCTGACACCCAGCAGCCCCCTAAACATAACTGTGGGACCCCCCACTTTCCAGTAACCCACCACAGACTGGCACGTTCTCCTGCAAACAATCCTTCCTTACTTCCAAGGGATGGCAGAGCAAAGCACTGAAACCCTCATCTCAATTACTGAGCAGGGAAGGATTAACCACCACCAAGGACTTTGCAGATATTTATTCTCCAAATCCACAAGAGAAGACAAGCAGAGGGAAAAGCTCCTCTGAGAGTTATGTACACAGACAGCAAGTCTAATGCTTACACAGTCTTAATTTTTTAATTTTTCAAGTCCTAACAACAATTATCTTCATGAATTATAGACATAATATCTGAGAGATGCAGGCAGTAATTAATGCACGTCTCCCTTTTCTGACTAGCTCCTTCTGCTGGGTCAGGGAGAGTTATTGAAATTCAGGAAGGAAATCTTCAATCTTCTGGAAGTTTTAAAGAAACAGACCAAGACACAATTTAATAAAGCAATAATATTTCTCTTAAATAATTAACTAGGCTTTGACATTCACTAATATTTCGGAGGCCCAGCTCTTACTTTTGCAATAACGCTGGAATAAGTGCACTCAGGGATGTGATCCACTGCAGGTCCAAAATGTACTAAACTGCAAAATTGCTGCAATTAGGCTTTGCCCCTGGAATTCTCTGCACATACAGCCATCTTCACTCTTTTTTTTTCCCTAAAATTCTCACTGAGAGCCCTAACAGAAGCCACGCTCTGCAGCGCCTCCATACTCCCCTCTTCTCATTTTGCCCCACTGACATCTGTCTCCAGGTATGAGCGCTCCACTCTCCCCAAGCTCAAGAGAAGCAGTGTTTATCATCCTTTGGGAAAAACCTTGGTTTCACAGCAGAACCACAGCACAGTAATAGATGCAATAGAAAATCCTAAACTAGACAGAAAGCTATTACTAAAGCAGCATATAGCACTGGATATTGTTTAAGTGGACTGTTTCCATCATCTCTCAAAAAGAAGATTCTCCTGCTGCATAAACAGTTTTATTCACATGAAGAATGCACTCAAGAGAGCTTAATATATTTGGGTATACTGACAGCAATTACCCCAAAGCAACAATTACTTAGCCAGCCACTGAAAAAAACTCCAATCTTTGGCATGGACATATCACCTACTTAAGCAATATAAAACTACAGAACAAGAAGGACAAAACTCTACTTTGAACCCAAAATCGTAAGGATTATTCTAATGGCCACCAAACTGAAACACAGCCATGTCACCAAGAATAGAGAGGATGCATTCAGACAGGAAGGCCACAATGAACCAAAAGCTTCACGCCTTTGAGGAAAAAAAGAAAAAAAAACCCAAAAGCTTCACTTGAACCACATCATCTCTACAGGAAAAAAAATCCCTACACACTAGAAGTTTAAATGGAAATAACGGTCATCCCAGTTTCAGAAACTCACCAGATACAGCCTGTAAGCATCAATCCGTCGAATGGGCCCCCAGCACTTGTCCGTATCGTTATACTTTGTGCCATCTCCAACACTGCAAGAATGGTTGCCAGTGGCACTGCTGGGAAAGGAGGGAGAAACAAAAGACAGTAATTAACTCCTAGCAGATGTCTTCCCCTCTCCTGCATTCAAGAAAGAGGAATGATCAGAGACCTGAAGAGTCCATTTCACCCCTCCCTCCCTCAACACCATCTCTCCTTGCATTTTCAGGACTGTGTAACACAGCAAGTCACCAAGTACCACACATTTAAAGGCAAATTCTTGGATTGCCTACAGTTATTTACAAGTTTGGTCACTGAGCTAGCAGGTTTAGGTCATACATGGATCACGGTGATTTTCCATTTACAGGTGATGAGTCCAAATACAGCCCAGATTTGATCAAATTGATCTCTTTCATTATCTATTTCTTTGAGAAAGGAACTGGTCTCAGTCCAGAGCTAAGCCCATGTAATGTCACCACTTGCTGGTCACAGGCTTGGTAAGGATCACATCTCTCAGCTCTTCCCCAAAAAGACAGAGAAGCTAAAATATTGCACAGAGTATGGCAATCAAACCATAGGTTTGAGAGCAACAAGCCCCATGTTTGCAAGGTGCCGAAGCTGGAAGCACTTCACACCTGAGGACTCATCTGAAATCAGGTCAGCTACTTTTCAGGCAGGCAGCTGGCACTCGGGTGGGGAATATAAAACAACTTCACCTTCCCACCCACCAGCGATGAGCTGTCCTTGAGTCATTTCTCCACTCTGTACTCCAGAAAGTAAAACTGATCCCAGTCAGACTTATCACCCCATTGAATCCAAAAGCCTGATCTCTTCTATGTTAGCACACAACCCCACAGCAGTGAACACACTTACCAGGTCACTTGCATGAGAGAGACCGGTACAGCCGCTGCATAGATTGCCAGGTCCCCATAGAGGTAGATAATTATGCAGAAATAGAAGAGGTTGACACCCACTGCAGGAAAAGGAAATATTGTACAGAACCCTGTAATAAACCCTGCACTTCAAACACACAAACATTTTTTTCAAGGTCTTAAAAACAAATCACCATTTGCCTCCATGATTTACTTCTTTCTGCAGCAAACTGTACCCAAGGGTCACATCAGCAGCTTAGGTACCTTAGCCCCAGGAACTGATGGGACACAAGGTGCTTCAGGGCTCAAATCTGCCTCCTTCAACACCTGGCCCTGACACTGGGCCCTCTAGTTCAAGCCCATCCTCCATTTGCTGGTGAAGACCCAACAGGTCTCACATAAGTCATCTGCCAGATGAAGCTGTCAACTTGGAACAGCCACAGGCAAACATCAAGCTGATGCTCATAGACTTGGTGCGAGCGCGGCTTGACAAACAGTGAAATGAAGAGAGAAGATGCTTTTAGTCCTCTGCAATTCCAAACCCTCTGCTTGTAAACCTGCAGGACTTTCACATTAGGGACTTGGCCCCACAGAGCTCAGGTTCCACAGGGTTGAAATGGAGCTGCTTCAGCAGTTTCCTTACCATCAGCCACTTGAGTCAAGGTTCAAATCTACAAAGCTTTAGAACTCTTTCTGCAGCCCTCTTAGCACCCTACTGCCACAGTGTGTGCTGTTCCTGCCCCATACTGTTTTCTTGGGTTTTGTTGTTTTTTTTTTTTTTTTTTTTTTTCTTTTTTAAAGTTTGTCCTGCCTTCACCTATGAGATTAAAAAAATGTCTTACACAAGTTAATTGGGTGCAGAGAATGGCCTTACTGGGGCACAACAAAACACTGCTGTGGAGGCCTGAAATCTACAGGGATAAAGAAATGCTTGATGGGACCCCAGGATTCTTTTCTTCCAAGCAAGTCAGTATAAATCTCACCAAGGAAAAACGAACTGGAGATATTTTAGTTCAGAGACAGGTGAGCTATGGGAAAAAAAAAAAGCAGCCTCAGATTTGTTTCATTTAGGAAGCTGACATTGAAGGAAACCAGCTCAAGTAACCTGCCCATACTCTCAAGTTGTGATGCCACCTGATGCTTAATCCTAATGCAGCTTGGGCAAATCAATTCACCTCTCCAAGCCTTGCATGTGACAACTACCACAGAAGGAGAGCAGTACTGCAGGAATGTGGATCAATATTTCTACAGTATCTGCACACCCCAAAGTTTTACCCTGTCTTACCACCATGCTGCCCCTGGATCTCTGGATGTCAGGAAACATTAATAGGCATTCTCCCTCATTTAAATAAATTATTCAATCTGCTGAGCCTATTTAGCATAAAACACGCCAAAAAAAAGAAGAGGGAGGGCTGTATTGGGAAAGTAGCAAGAAAACTTCTCTGCTTCTGTAAAGCAGCACACTGAGCCAGTGCACGAGAGTTGTTCCTGGTTTGTCTAAGCAGACAAATGAAGACCTCGCAGAAATTGTCAGATCATTTCATATAGTTCCCTCTTGTTTTCTTCCTCTGTGAAAGATTTAAGATGGCTTCACAGCTAAGGAATCTCTGCATCATTCTGAAGATGGCAACAAACTACCTGCCAGTTTTCTCCAATTTCCTATTAAAAAGGGTTGATGATTTTAACAAGAATCTGACATAGGAGAGAAGCTGCAAGACACACTCCACCCCCCCCCCCCCCCTCCCCCCCCCCCCCCAAAATTAGGCTAACATACCAGTTAACCCACAGCAGCACCACCAGCACACACTATACCCCTGTTCCAGTGCCAGCTTCTCTGTCTCTGGGAAGTCCAGGTGACAGTCCTCTCCCAAACTCATCCCCTCGAAGGCAGGAATACTTTAGTGTTAGCTCTTTTATAAACTGCTACTGACCCTCCCTGATCAATACTTTCATTACTGGACACAAAACGGGAAAAAAATCAATGACTTCCTGTGGAGAAACAGTATGATAGATGTGCCTAGAATCCATTATTGCAATAAATGACTGCTCGGTCCCAGAAGAGAGCACCCAACATTGCAAATTAAAAAAAAAGAAAATAAAAAAAGCAGTTATTCAGAGCCAGCTCTTTTGAAAGAGCATACAGACCCTTCCCTTCACAGCCTAAACCTAAGGCAGCTTCCTTTAAGAAAGCAGACAGCCTGAAATTGAGATTTATCCCCAGCTTACCTCCCAGGACTGCAGATTCAACTCCTGTCAGATTGTTGAAAATAAAAATCAGTCAAGAGAAAGGAGCAGAGAACTCGCTAGAAATGAGAGGCTTTGAGGTCTATTGCAAAGCTTCCAGCAGCCTTCCCTCTGAAAACTGTAAATCCCTCAGACACCTTGGCTTTGGATGTGTACTTTGTGCATTGTGAGCAAACCCCCACCCAGACATTTGCTAGCTGTGAAACTGCAGAGGTTGGTGCCTGAAGCTGGGAATTCCCAAGTGTGGCCCAGTTGCCTAGCCCTAGGCAGTAGCAACTGGTCACTGAGCAACTGTCTTTATTGAAGACCTTGCTGTGCAACTGTCAGAAGGAAGCACTTCAGCAAGGATCTGCAGAGGGAGGTACCTGTCTCTTCTCTCTGCAACTGCTCAACAGACCAGAGGGTGTCTCTGAACTAGGACTCAGCAACAGTGTAAGGATGGAGCCTCATTGCTGAGCACAGGGGAAGGGAAAGCAGCAAATGAGTTACAGCTGCCCCAGACCCTTCGCTGTGCAAACCTCATCTAGAAGTCACAAGTTGTTTCAAGCTACAGTCTGTGGCTCTTCCAGCTGCCTTCCTGCAGAGAGATTCATCCCCGTGCACTGGGCCGAGTAGGTCCTGGGAGGATCCCTAACACAGAAATCAGATAATTCTGGCTAAAGCAACATTAAGAAGAGGGATTAAGATTTATAGTCCTAAGCAGTTTATATCACTTCGCTAGGAAGCGTCCCTCCGTGCCTGCCGGGAGAGAGGACGTGCATTTCCAGCACCCCCTACTGGCTGAGCAGCAGCCAGCATCAAGGCAGAGAGGTCTAGAAGACAACTGCCCCACATCGGAGGGGCTTGGGGGGTCATTCCCATCTCCCCCCGTGAAGCAAAGGCCTTCTAAAACTTCTTTATGGGAGCACTCTGCCTCCTGTGATCCCCCAGCCCTCCTGCAGCTGAACACTCAGCAACGCTGCTAAGCTCTGGTACACGGTGCTTGCTCTCAAAGCACTTCCCAAATATCACTCACCAGAGGATGACTGAGGGCCAGGGAAGTGTTCATGGTGTTTTACAGACAGCAAAGCACACAAAAAAACTTGCCTAAAGTCAGAGCAATCCAGTGCTAGAGACAAGACTAGGAACAAGATGCTTCTGAGTCTCCACCCCACACTCGCATCACCTCTCCTTTCCTATTGCTGGAAAAGCAACAGCCTGATCCAAGGAGGATTATTTGGATAGCAATAAGTCAGTAAAATCTAAGAAGGCCCAGAAGAGGCACAGGGAAGTTAAAAAAATAAAGTTCTCAATTGGACTTTAAAATGAGCAATAATATAATTCACAGAATCTTCATTCCTTAAGGCCATCTGCCCTTCAAAGGCAACAGTCTTACATTGGCATAAAGCTGATGTAATGTAATGGAAAAAACCAGCCCATCGTGTCTTTGTAAGGTGGCCAGCGAGCGAGAGAAAATGTCACTTTCCACAAGAAATGGGGCCTGACAGGCTCAAAACTGCACAACCATGGTGTCTGATGATTTTCTGGCTCTGCACAGCATTTCAAATGTACTGTTTTCCCAATTTCAGAATACCTAACACTGTAGTTTGCATTTCTGTCGTATACAGCAATGGATATGGCGTTATTGCAGTACAGTTACAAGTTTTTTCCCTGGCATACAAGAGATTTAAAAGCAAAAAGACAAGACACCTGCCTATCATATGCACACCAGGGACTCTTCCAGCAGTTCACATCCCAGCAGCTATCTTGGTGACACCCCAGACACAGGCAATTCTCAGCAGCTCTCCCCAGAAGTCTCTCTCCTTCAACCTGATACTTACAGGGTTCAGGGAAGCCCAAACACCTTATTTTCAAATGCTACAACCAAGATGGAACTAGCAAACACTCAGCTGGGCTCTAGTGCTTTAGACAGAGAAGACTGGAGGACAGATGTGATTCAGAGTTAGGTTAAGGGCAGTGGAAAAGGCACTGACTTACACTGGGCCCATAACCTGCGGTATTTTGCTTAGTTCTGCTTTGACCACAGCACCCTCTCCTTCAGGCAGGTTCCAGGCCATATGGCCCATAAATACTCTTCATAGAAACACAACATAAGGGAATGACTACAATCCCCAGAGAGAAGGAATGACGTTTCTGGGTGTAATCATTGCAAACTCAGGATACAAACCCACACTGAGAAGCATGCAAACTTCAGGAAAAGCCATACACATAACATGCAGGGGGACCTGAAGGGAATTCTGAAAATGTGAATCACTTACCTTTATTGAAGAACATAGAAGCCATCTGGCCCATTTCCACCCTCTCAGTGATTTCAAAGATATTGGGTGAACCACGTCTCTCTGTAAGTTGAAAATGAGAAGTGTTTCAGCAAATCCCTCTAATAAACCCAGAGGCCAGACTATCTGAAGACACTCAAGAAGCTCTAACAACAGTTTGAAGGAGAGTATGTATGACTCCAGAGCTGCAGAGTCACTGGTCCAATTACTCTGCTGAAGTTTATTTAAAAGTGTTTTCAAAGTAAGATGTTCTCATCTTAGTGACCTAGAAGGAAAAGATCTTTATCAGACTGTAGAAGGTGAACTGAATTCTCAATGAGTCTTATCTCGCAAGTGCTAAGGGCTTTGGGATGTGAACATGTGGAATTGAGGGTGAAATGGACAGAGGAGTCCTGCTCCACTTGCTGGAATCTACTGTCTGCAAAGAAGTCTCAGATCCAGTGAAAACTGAACTGGGTACTTACGAACTGACAGGATAGGCCGTGTCTCTGCTCGCTCATAGCCATCATGGAGGAGAACATCACTGTCAGATACTCCAGAGGAAGAATCCTCATCTTCATCATCCTCCTGGAATTAAAGACCAGACCACTGCTACCCACAGTACAGGCTGTGGCACCATTAGTGTCACGCTCTCACTTGCAGAAACTCAAACAAAGGTCCCAAACAGGGATAGGCAGGACATGCAACCAAAGGCAATACCAGGGAGTCCTGACCCGGGCTTGGGATGCTGTGGAGAGCAGCAGAGGGTACTAGCAGAGCAGGCCAAAGTCAGTGACAGGCTCTGCTGTTCTAGCAGCTCACACATACTGCAACAATGTCCAATTCATGCAGTGAATATGGGCCACGAGGAAGTTAAACTTCTGATAGATCTGCAGAACTGGTGAAAAAAACCCATATGTATATAGTCTTAGCCAGTCAGAACAGAAACTTCCACCTCATAATTCCAACTCACTAACATACAGGCAGGGATCTAAATCAGTGCAAACAATTATGCCTTGCACTAATCCAGAAAAACCACTAAAGCCAGGATCCAAAAGCCAAAAGTAAATTTTACAGCAAGGACTGTCCACTCCCTGGGCTACAGCCCAAACGGCAGCAAGGACATTCCAGCTTGTCCCAGTTAAATGACCTGAGATCAGTAAGGATTTATAGACCTCAGCACACTCCAAACAGCACCGATATATTGGCTGCCACCTCTCCACGTTCACTGAGCAGCGCTTCTGGGCAAGGAGAGCACGATCAGTGAGAAATGTGAACAGCACGAGAGATTTTTCAAAGCAGGAGCAGAAAATCCTGTCTTTAATGAGCAACCCTACAGGGAACTAACAGCCATGCTTTATATGGCAAAGTTAAGTACAGTAGAAATGTATTCCTTTAGAGTTACAAATGAGGCAAGGCAAAGATGCAGAGGAATTTCAGGCGAGTCCTACAGGATAAAAGAACAAGAAAGAAATGGAAAATTAAACCCCACACAAACCTTGCGTTTTTCCATTCTCTTCCATCGCAGCTGGGCATTCGCAGCAGCCATGGCTTCTACCACAAAGGTTGTAGTCATATAGCTAGAGAGAGAAATTCAATTGATACCAATAGTAGTCAAGAACTATCCCTGCACAGAGATGGAGAACTATTCTCATCTGTAGACACAAAGAAACTAAACCAACCTTTGCACCAACTCCCCCCCCCCGCCCCACACTGCAGTTTTGGTAGTGTTCCATCTCAATTTGCTGCTCCTTTCTGTCCTTGAGATTAAGGTGTTCAAGCAGACCACAAATTGCAGTAAAATAAAAGATACCTTCAGATATAAAAAAACCACTTCAGATATCTAGAAGGCACCTCCCTAGCGTTTCTGTGGATTGAAGGTGGCAAGAGGACCATCCTCTTTCTAGAGCCTTGGACTAACACAGTAATATTGTGAAGCTTGTCTATTAGTGTCTGTGGCAAAGGTACTGTGGTCCCTTAAAGAATCTTACAAAAAGCATCAGAAGCAAAGCAGTGACAGAAGACCAAGGGGCAGATAACACGTGCATGCAAATATACTTCACTAGAGGTCAGGGGAGAAGCTGCCCAGGGAGACAGCGAGAGCCACCAGTGGAAGGAATATCATTCTCTCAGCTAAAAACAAAACAGTACTCTAACAAGAAAAACCCCACAACCTCAAAATCAATCTTATTTAAGGCTTTAAGTGGTTTCTCACTGCTTCAGGAACTGGACTCCTTTATCAAGCTCAAATGAGAGATTAGTTTTGCAAGAACAAAAGCAAGCAGCCCTGTCCTGAGGCTCGTGTGGCAATTTCCACACAGACTTTTCTTGTGCTGAAGGGTCCCCAGCGGGCAGGAGGAAGTCACAAGCACCGGAAAAAACCGACAGGGCAACGCAGCTCCCAAGGCATGTAGCACTTTGAGCTGTGTTTTCTCAATTTAATCTGGTGCAGTTTTGGAGGCTCGTGCTCTTCTGCTGACCTTGAAGGATCATCTGCTGGTGCTGAGTTTCATACACTTAATTTACACTTTTGAACTAATATACCTAAAAGGAACTGCTTCCAAAGCTCCCAGTTGCTGGCGGTCCCACAATTTACATTTTATCAAGCCTTTGCAGCATACAACTTTGAGGTGGGGAACTTAGAAGCACCACTACAGTCAGTACTGGCCGTACAGCACCTCTACATAGCAGCATCTAACGATCCAAAAAGCACTGCCTCCAAATCAAAGGCACATTCAGGCTGACAGAGCTGGTTACCGACAAGACAGGAACTTCTAAATTCCATTCTTACAGACAGCAGGAAGGGATTTTGTTTGACTTTGTTTTAAAAGCAAGCAAGAAGCAAGCAGGGATTCACAGCCCGTCGGAAGATGGCAATTCTATTAATATCTACTCAGACATCAGTGCTGTATCAACAGCCTTCAGCTCCACCTGCTGCTCCAGCAAGGAGACATCTGGGCAGAAGCTCAGAGCCAGCCAGCGTGAAAATCCTGAGACCAGCTCCAAGGTCTCAAGCAGCAAAGGTGTGTGAGAGGAATAAGATGGGTCTGGCTACACAGTAATTTGTTTTCCTGACACTCCTGCAGCTGCCCAGAGCCTTACCTGAAGCCAAGAGAAAACTAACACACCAGATCTGCACCACATCTGCAAGTCACAACGCAGAGAAATGAACCCGTGTCAGCTGTGACTTGGTTAGTGTTTGGGGAACTGATCTGTGACAGAGGGAAGCTTGGGATGTATCCACAGGACAGTGTCAAAAATAGAAAGCTGGGAAAAAGGTCCCAGAAGTCTCCGGACTAGAGAAAACATCTTTCCCATCAGTCAGGAGATGGGATGTAGCACCATATAGCTGGCAGTCAAAAAATGCCTCCAAATAAGGTCCACAGGCAACACAACTGCAGAGAGCAACACTCAAGGAGCAGAGGGCCAAGATCACTCAGAAAAGCAGCAATAATCTTAGCAGTGTCCTTACAGCTCCACCCAGCTGAGCCCCCCAGCCCCCTAAAGACACGTACTCACGTCCTACCTCATAAATCCCAGGAACATCAGGAGAACGAGGCTGACGAGCCACCCTGCTGTCGCAAAGGCCTTTGGCATGGTTAGGGCTCCTGTCCCCACGATGAGGTTGAACATGTACACCAGACCAACCTGCAATCATCCACATCATCCAACGTGAGACTTTGCAGCTGTGCCAGAGATCATCCAAGACCCCTCACATGCACACTGATTCAAGTGGAGAGAGCAACCTTTGAGCAAGCCCATGCTAGAAATGAATATAGGAGCGGACAGAGAACCAAAGGGAACAAAGCGAGTGTCAGCACAACTCTGGAGAAACTGATATTCCTCAAAATATCTTTTTTTCTTAATTTATTTGCTTTCCAACTTTTAAAGTTAGAAAGCACATGAGCTTTCTGTTTGTTTGCTTTCAAATCCTTCTACCAGAAGAGTCTACACTGTGGGCTGGGGTCTCTCATTTTCTGATCTGAAGCTAAGCGGTTATGACTACAGACATGAGTTACTGTTCAGACTCTCTTGTTGTTCTTTATTCTTAATCAAGCAGGAAATATCCAAATAGAATTCTAATTCAAAGCCTGCTTGACATTTTACCAGCAGGCAGCTGAGCACACTCTGAAGAAGGGATTTTATTTCTGGAAGGGAAAGGATTTTATCCCCTCTGGCAATGAGCTTTTTTCTGCCCGGGGGCAAAAGATAACTGCGCCTCTGGTCAGGGACACTACCTGCTCCCAGACTATAAACTTAGCTGAATTCAAGATCAAAAATTGCCCCGAATTTGGTTTTTGAGTTTATTTTATATATAGGTCAGAGTCTCTCTAGAGGAGAGCCACTGAAGAACTGTGTCCGAGTACAATTTTCTGGGTGTGGAGCAATTAATATCAGGAGAACTATTCCCCAGAGACCCTGTGAGCACTCCTGCCCTACATTCACTGACATAAGCACAGTAAATTCATCTTTTGATGAGTCTCCCAGAAGAACGAAAAAAAAAAATATAATATATATATATAAATCAGCCATTGCAGCTTGCAGGAAAAGTTCTTTTCATTCAGGCAGCAGAGCTGTCATTCCCTGAGCACAACTCAAGTGCCCAGGGCCGTGACTCACTCTTCAGTGAAGGACTCTTGAAAAAACACCTCAGGTGATTTTCCTTGACTTTGGTCAAGTAGAAAGAGATGAGAATGGTGCCTGTGTAGTCAGTTTGACTAGACATCTTCAGGGAAAGAGTAGAGAGTCATAGCCTTTGAGGCTAGACTTGAGGAAATACATGCAACATTAACATAACTTAAGAGCAGGTGACACTAATCCTTTAGAGTCCAGACGTCCCCATTACTGTCTTGTTCTCTGTTTTCTCAGTTGTGACCTATTTCTGCAGCCTAATACCCAGTTCTTCTAAATTCAATCCTTAACACAGGGCTGAAAGTTTTAAAGTATTTCAAAGCCAACACACAGATTTCAGGACTGGTTTATTTAGCGAGTTCACTTCAGAAAAAAAAAAATGTTTGCAAAGCGCTGTTTTTAAGAGCTGACATTAAATGAACACCCATGGCTATGAAAACCAGTATTTCCAGTAAAGCAGTAATTGGCTCTGAAATTTCATAGGCCACCACATTACAAGGAAGAAACATCTTGATTACTGGTTACGAGTGAAGTGGTTTAAAACAAATTACTACAACACCTACAAATAAGTAAACTTTATATAACATTTCCCTCTGAATTTCTTAAAGCCAAAAAAGAGAAGCAAAGCCAGACAGTTTCCATCTCCCAATCCCCTCTGTTTATGGGAGCTTCATGTAACAATTTGGGTTCATGGAAGCATTAACAAAAGGTAAGGAAAACGGGTAGAAGGATGCAAGAGCTTGAAGCTCTTTTTAACACTTCTAGAATTATTCCTTAAGCAGACATTGTCCCTTTACAGTACATAGGGTGATTTGTAATGTAAAAAAAAAATCCAACAACAAGAAGCCTTAAGTATTTTTAAGTACGCTTTGACCTCCATCATCCTTTGAAGCGCTGAGGCTATGTCCATGGGGAAGTAGGAAATGAAAACACGTTGTAAAAAGAGGTTTTTTTAAAGACTTTTGAACAAAGCCACAAAACAGTGGTACTTACGTAGGGAGAGTAAAGCTCTCCTGTGTCAGTAATGCCACCAGCCATGTTGAAGACAGGGGGAAGGCTCAGAGCAAAGCGAGGAGGGTGTTTTCAACTTCTATTGCCTTTAACCTAGGGAAGCATCATAAAGTTTGTGTTAGCTTTGTCGGAAGGAGGAGGAGGAACTCAGGAGTCAGCTTTTGGACATCGGTCTTCTAATATTTGAACAAAAGAGGATTTCAGCAGGATCTTCCACTTCGGACAGATATACCCCACTCAGCAGCAACACCTGGTTCAATACTCTACTGAAAAGTTTTCATACTTGTTAAACTAGTTTAAAAGTAACCAAAAGGCTCTGCCCTTCCACAGCACGCGATGACCAAACTTCACCTTCCTCAAACAGCCAGAGGGGCTGTTTCAGACGCTAAAAGCTCAAGAGGAAGAATGCCTGCCTTAGGGATGATCTCATCCTGCTGCCTCTCACACAGCTACTACTCTTAGACAGCATGTGCCTCCTGCAAATCAAAGCTGTAAAAAACCAGCCTAAAACCAGCCTACAATCTCTCATCATAATCTCGAGTAAAGCAATCAGCAGATAAATGAAAATACTGGACCTATGAAAAAAAACCCAAGAAATTTTGTTACATGTACCAAAGTTTCCAAAGCAGAATTATTTAGGGAACTTCACATCGTCTTAGAAAAACTACAGGGGAGAGGAAGAACTCAAGCATTTTGAAAGTTTTCAGAGTACATAAGTAATTAGGCATCGCTGAATTGTTTCAGAGCTCTACCAAATCCCATATACTTCTACCTCTGCTCCCACTCAGCCACGCCAACTGGGACAACTCCTCAGCACAAACTTCGCAGGCTCAGAGCACTCCTCACAAACCCAGACGGTTCATCAGCTCCCACCCAGTCACACCAGATGACAGAAGTGACTCTGGCAGCAGAGCTCACCCCGGCCACAACCAGCCCAGCCTTTGGAAGAAGGGGCCAAACATCCCTTTTTAGAACAGACCCCCACTCACACCCCTGGGGCCAACCTCAAGAAGACACGGCACGACCAGGGGGCACACGG